GTTCATATAGTATGTTACACATATGGTGGTTTAAACTTGAGGTTCACATAGTATGTTACACGTATGGTGGTTCAGAATTGAAGCTACCTCTAGTATGATACATATATGGTGATTCAAAATTGAAGACACATACAGTATGTTACATATATGGTGGTTCAAACTTGAAGATGCATATAATATGTTACATATATGGTGCTTCAAACTTGAAGATGCATATAGTATGTTACATATATGGTGCTTCAAACTTGAGGATGCATATAATATGTTACACATATGGTGGCTCAAAATTGAAGCTACCTGTAGTATGTTATATACATGGTACTTCAAAATTGAAAATACATATGGTATGTTACATATATGGTGGTTCAAACTTGAAGATACATATAGTATGTTACATGTATGATGGTTCAAAATTGAAGATACATATGGTATGTTATATATATGATGGTTCAAGCTTGAGGTTCATATAGTATGTTACACATATGGTGGTTTAAACTTGAGGTTCACATAGTATGTTACACGTATGGTGGTTCAAAATTGAAGCTACCTGTAGTATGATACATATATGGTGATTCAAAATTGAAGACACATACAGTATGTTACATATATGGTGGTTCAAACTTGAAGATACATATAGTATGTTACATGTATGATGGTTCAAAATTGAAGATACATATGGTATGTTATATATATGATGGTTCAAGCTTGAGGTTCATATAGTATGTTACACATATGGTGGTTCAAAATTGAAGCTACCTGTAGTATGATACATATATGGTGATTCAAAATTGAAGACACATATAGTATGTTACATATATGGTGGTTCAAACTTGAAGCTGCATATAATATGTTACACATATGGTGGCTCAAAATTAACGATACCAACAGTATGTTACATACATGGTGGTTCAAAATTGAGGACACATGTAGTGTATATAAAATTTTGTCCACCCTCCAAAAACTGTATTATTAATATTATAAATTTTACAAGTTTACGCAACGTAATATAAGTTTGTATTAAATATAATTGAACCGCAACCGTTTCACGAATATTAACTGTACACAGTGTTCGAAGAAAACCCGAAACTGCTACCGAGCAAAACCCGAGCTATGCAACAGTTGAATCAAATGGAAGTGGACGAAGGTTTCATAGAACCCGTTAAAAGATTATGTAAAAACAAATCCTACTTGTTACTCTGCAACTCGTACGGTCTGAGCATAGGTGTATTGAACGTGGTAGGAACGCTGTTGAATCAAATGTATCTCGCGCGTTTTGAGGTAAGCGGAAAACGTGGAAATTCATTTACAAACGATCGAAATTTCTAAATTTATTTAATATTAAACATTAGTGGGTGGTTCAACATTTTTTTTGCTCTCTAAAAATTTATGGTGTAAAAAGAATCCTCTCAAAGTTTCAGCTGAAATATTTCAATTTAGGTAGCTCGAAGCAAGTTTCGGTATATTGATTTTTTATCGTATCGACTTTTAATTGAAATTTAAGTGATTATTAAGTGATTTTATTTGTAACTTTTCACCAACCTTTTACATTGAAATTTTGAAGCTTCCTAATTAAAAATTTTAACCTAACAAAACAAATTCCCCAAATGAAAATTGAACAACTTCCAAATATTCTTAAATTTCCGAACCACAAATTTAATGATACAAATCCTTCATCTGTGTAACATCCCGCTTTAAAAGTTAACGTTTAATCAACTTGGTTTTAATAAATGCCACGTAAAAAATCAAAGAAACTTTTTCACCGCAACATAAAGTACAGTTTTACGAATAAAAAGTGTTTAAATCGTGGAAAAAATTTGGGAAATGTATTTAAATGTTTTTATTCTTTTTTGCAACCCCAGCACTGCACGAGATAATTTTTAAAAGTTTAATACGCCGTAATAAAATTTTAATATGCTGTTTTAACGTGATTCTCTTGAATAAAAATACGGGGACAAAATTTTAATATTTTCATTAAATAGAAGTGTAGCATATGTTAAACACTGTTGGTAATTTCAAATATTGATGGGGGCAAAAATTTGTAATTATAATAAATTTCTGTGCTGCAAAATTTGTGAAGTCTAGTTTGTAATAATTAATTTTCTGGGGGTCAGAAATTGTGGTGTTGGAATATTATAAATTTTCAAACTTCAAAATTCCTAAATTTCCAAATTCTCAAATTTCCATATTCTCAAATTTCCACCTTCTCAAATTTCCATCTTCTCAAATTTCCACCTTCTCAAATTTCCAACTTCTCAAATTTCCACCTTCTCAAATTTCCAACTTCTCAAATTTCCACCTTCTCAAATTTCCAACTTCTCAAATTTCCACCTTCTCAAATTTCCAACTTCTCAAATTTCCACCTTCTCAAATTTCCAACTTCTCAAATTTCCACCTTCTCAAATTTCCAACTTCTCAAATTTCCACCTTCTCAAATTTCCAACTTCTCAAATTTCCACCTTCTCAAATTTCCAACTTCTCAAATTTCCACCTTCTCAAATTTCCAACTTCTCAAATTTCCACCTTCTCAAATTTCCAACTTCTCAAATTTCCACCTTCTCAAATTTCCAACTTCTCAAATTTCCACCTTCTCAAATTCTCAAATTTCCACCTTCCACCCTCTCAAATTTCCACCCTCTCAAATTTCCACCCTCTCAAATTTCCACCCTCTCAAATTTCCACCCTCTCAAATTTCCACCCTCTCAAATTTCCACCCTCTCAAATTTCCACCCTCTCAAATTTCCACCCTCTCAAATTTCCACCCTCTCAAATTTCCACCCTCTCAAATTTCCACCCTCTCAAATTTCCACCCTCTCAAATTTCCACCCTCTCAAATTTCCACCCTCTCAAATTTCCACCCTCTCAAATTTCCACCCTCTCAAATTTCCACCCTCTCAAATTTCCACCCTCTCAAATTTCCACCCTCTCAAATTTCCACCCTCTCAAATTTCCACCCTCTCAAATTTCCACCCTCTCAAATTTCCACCCTCTCAAATTTCCACCCTCTCAAATTTCCACCCTCTCAAATTTCCACCCTCTCAAATTTCCACCCTCTCAAATTTCCACCCTCTCAAATTTCCACCCTCTCAAATTTCCACCCTCTCAAATTTCCACCCTCTCAAATTTCCACCCTCTCAAATTTCCACCCTCTCAAATTTCCACCCTCTCAAATTTCCATCTTCTCAAATTTCCATATTCTCAAACTCCCAAATTCTCCAATTCCCAAATTCCCAAACTCCCAATCTCTCAATTTCCCAAAACGCCATCTGCGCAAACACCTTCCTCCATTAACTCCTAACACCCCCCAAAAAACCAATCAATTCACCCTTTGATACTTCACCAGACCCCACTTTTATTTTCAATTAGTTTCCGACGTCTTCCTTTCAAGACTCCCCTTAAATGTTCCTATCTCAAATTACACTAGGTTAGGAAAAAAGGTTCTGTTTCGAGAGGAGTAGTTCAGTTTCAGAGAAGCAATCTACATCGTGAACGAAACAATGGCAGAAGAAGCGGCCGAACTGTTTTCTACCCCTTTAGAGACTTTTTCCCCTAACTCTCGAGAGGGTTTCGACAAGATGTCCAGATAAAGCTGGGAACTCGATCGCGAGGAGTTGAAGTTCGCCGGAATTATTTTAGTAGCCTCTATCGATCGAAATGTCGATAATGAGACGCTTATCGCTTCCAGTGATTCACTCTTCACTGACAATGTAAGTATTTTTGTAGTAAGACGTTTTTGTAAGACGGGAAACTATTAACGAATCAATACAGTGAAAGAGAACGCAAATATTTTGATAATAGAACGTTTCTATAGAAAGAAAAATTGGAGACAATTGCGAAAGAATGTGAATGTTACGGTTTATGAAACATGAAGTTGTGGATGAACATGAAATTGTATTTTTTTGTAAATATTTGGTGTAGAATACATTTGTGAACATATATGTATTATGTTTATTAATTTTGGACCGAAATAATAAATTAATTACTTAGAAATATTGTGAATACATAAACTATGTTTTGGTTCGTTTTGAATTTCCCGCGCATCGACCGCTAACGACGCCATATTGTTTCTTCCTCTAACTACGTATCTTCGTTACGTTCGAACTAATATAAAGTTTCTCGTGTTCTTTCTTCTATTTTTACCCCATCATTTATAATTTAATATTGTTCACATTTGTTCCATTTATATGAATTTAAAATTGTTAACATTTGTTCAATTCGCATAAATGTAAAATTATTAAAATTCGTTCCATTTACATGAATTTAAAATTGACAATATTTATTTCATATATATATATTTCTATAATAGCACCATAACCATTGATCGGATTTTAAAATTTTTCCCATTGAAGTTTACGACCGAGGAACATCACGTGATCCGAATAACTCCGAACAGTAACGGAGTAGACCGATATATCACTAGAGGTCCCCACACCATAAATCTTACTACCCCGCTGATTTTATACTCCGCCTAGACGTGTTCATGGCCGAAACAGAGCGAACTCGTGGCCCGATCCGAAATAACTTGGAATTAAATTAATTTAGAGTTTACTTACCGTGTACATCCAGCTTGACGTCGACGGTGAGGGGCTCGACGAGCGCTATGCTGTTGACTTTACACGTGAAAGTTGCATCCAGCTCGTCGCGTGTGATTTGCATCTGCAACAAACTGCTGCTGTTTCCAATCCCGTTGTCGCTGATCGTTGTTGAGCTGGTTGCTGAAACAAATGCATGTAAAAGCGTTTAGATGTGTTTTTAGGTTAACCTACTTTTTCATTATTTTATCGTGGGTGATCAATTTCGTGCGACCTTAGGCGCAAATAGGGGGTGTAGATTTGAGGATTAGATACACAAGATTAGATTATAGGAAACTGTGTAATTATATAGGAGACGATTTAGTTTGCTTATAGACCTCTTGAAAGGCCCTTGGTTTTATGTACTGTAGACGAACCAGGAGTTGGCGACCTGACTCAAGTGTTTGGACTATGGGCTCTGAATAGAAAAATAACCAGACGTATTTTCGGTGGTATCAGTCACATTTGAGTCTAAGAACAGGAAAAAACTAAAATTAACACGATCAAGTTTTCGTGACGCACCTTATGACGCAAGCTTAAATTAGCACGAGCCAGCAATTTCATGACGCACTCTATGACACAAACCAAAATTATCAAGATGGAGTCCTTACGACGCACCTTATGACGCACTTCCAAATTAACGTGATCGAGTTTTCGTGACGCACCTTATGACGTAAACCAAAATCAGCACGACCGAGTCATCATGACGCACCATTTGACGTAAACTAAAATTAGCACGAATAAGTCTTCGTGACACACCCTATGACGCAAAGAAAAATTAGGAAGATCGAGTCTTCATGACGCACCTCATGACGCAAACTAAAATTAGCACGATCGAGTCTTCATGACGCACTTCATGACGCAAACTAAAATTAGCACGATCGAATCTTCGTGACGCACTTCATGATGCATACCGAAATTACCATGATTACGTCTGACGCACCCTATGACGCAAAGAAAAATTAACATGATAGAGTCTCTGTGACGCACTATATGACACAAATCAAAATTAGCACGATGGAATCTTTGCGACGCACCTTATGACGCACTCTCAAACTAACACGATCGAGTCTTCATGATGTACTTCATGACGCAAACGAAAATTAGCACGATCGAATCTTCGTGACGCACTTCATGACGCAAACCAAAATCATCACGATCGAGTCTTCATGACGCACCTCATGACGCAAACCAAAATTAGCACGATCGCGTCTTCGTGACGCACCATATGACGCAAACCAAAATTAGCACGAGTCCGTCTTCGTGACGCACCATATGACGCAAACCAAAATTAGCACGATCGCGTCTTCGTGACGCACCATATGACGCAAACCAAAATTAGCACGATCGCGTCTTCGTGACGCACCATATGACGCAAACCAAAATTAGCACGATCGCGTCTTCGTGACGCACCATATGACGCAAACCAAAATTAGCACGATCGCGTCTTCGTGACGCACCATATGACGCAAACCAAAATTAGCACGATCGCGTCTTCGTGACGCACCATATGACGCAAACCAAAATTAGCACGATCGCGTCTTCGTGACGCACCATATGACGCAAACCAAAATTAGCACGATCGCGTCTTCGTGACGCACCATATGACGCAAACCAAAATTAGCACGAGTCCGGAATTTAATACCAATTACAATTTACACGATCAAGGATAAATTGAAAGTACACCTAACATTTCAACTTTCTTCACTCGTTTTAACATTGCAGTAATGATCACCGACACCCCATGACTTGACCCAGGTGTTTGGACTACGGCCCCAGTCAGAATAGAAAAATACCCACACGTATTTTCGGCGGTATCGGTCACAATTGAGTCAAAGAACAAGTCGGCAAACGTTTCGAGTGGTCGAACGTCAGAACGTCACATTGGACTGTTCAAATTGGGCGTCCCTTAAACCTGGCTTAGCCTACGCGCCAGGAACAGGATTGTCTACAGTACATACCGTAGTCGAGCCAGGAATTGGCGCGTGGGAGGCTGACCCAGGTGTTTGGAAGGACTACGGCCCCAATTGGTCAGAAGAGAAAAATGGACGCCTGGACTCACACGTATTTTCGGCGGTAGTGTTGGCTCTCGCAGTCGCCAATTAGGCGAAAAATGACAGGCAAGTCGAGAGATAGTGCGAATAGCAGTTGTTGTCATTCTTATTTGCCGATATGTCGAAACCGAGAGATAGTGCGAATAGCTGTAGTTATTGTCATTATTCTTATTTGCCGATATGTCTGGTAGCAGTGGGGATAATTCTTTTGGGTCTCACGCGTCAACTCCTGGGTTGGCTACAGTACCTCCTCTCCCCATAACTTCTACTGAAGCGGGAAATTTGAACATTTGATATCTTTTGCATTGTAAGAACATCAAATGACAAGATCTCAAGTCTCCAATATGTTGGAAAGTGCCTAACCACTTTGATGAGTGAGTCATTCGGATTTTGGTTACATGGTGTATTAAATACAAAACCCAATTTTTATGTACAATGTAAACGTGTATTAAGGCAAGGACACTACTGTCACATCACGTCATAGCACGTGACGAAGTAAGAATGTGAGCTGTGTATTTCCAGCGAGAAAAATGGCGCGTTCGCAGTGCACCTCGCGCCATTTCGAGTGTCTTGCGTGCCGTGCGTGTGAACGCTATTCTCATCGGAAATATGTAGCTCACGTCTTAGTTCGTCATGTGCTGTGACGTGACGTGACGTGAGTCCTGGCTTAACCCTTTCGATTATGAATTATTTATTCATGAGAAAATCATTTGTCGAATTATCAAATTTAGATACACAACATTTATATAACCAATAACCATTATGTGATCATAACTAACAGCCATATACACATGACCCAAAGGGTAAATTTGCATTTCGTTACAAAAAATAAAATGTAATTAGGTTTAAGAACTGAGATCAATGTTAATAATTTCACCTTGAAGCATAATAATTTAATAATAATTTTAACTTGAAAAGTATAGTAAATTGTAGAATACCTTCTAGTGGCTGGTCGTCTTTAAACCACTCGACCGTAGGCACAGGTTTCCCTTCGCCGCTCTCGCAGTACAAGGAAATCGTCGAACCTTCGTTTATAGGTCCTAAAGTGGCACCGGTGCTTAACGTGTTCTTCGTGTTCTCGTCGATGACACGTACGAACGGGGGTTGCACTGAAACAGAAACGAAAGGCGGTCAATTACGCGGCTAAAAAGTGCCTTTGATTCGGCCTACTATTGCCGTTTCTATTCACGGCGGACACGGTTGCTTACGTCGTGAACCTCAAGATAGGATCGCCGTTCCCGAAAGTTTCCTTCGTTCTTTATCGATTTATGCAACGCCTTATAACTGACCATTATTCTTATAAATAAGTAAATTTTAGAGACATGTGTTTAGGTTTTTATGAAGGTCATGGGAGATGTCTATTAAAGATGAAGGATTTGGAAATTGCAATCTATTCAATCAACAAACAGTTTTTAAAAAATATTCCAAGTATCAAATACTCAAACATAGAAAATTAGCTGAATATTTTCAGACATCATCCAAGTGTCCCAACTCCATCAAAATAATTTCCAGCTCGTCGAACACTAAATTCAAATTACTTATATTTAATCGTCGGAGTTACAGAAAGTTCCCTGATAGTAATACTTTCAGGACTCAGCGCGAATTTGCGATAGGAATTTGTAGCGAAAACAGTTGCTTGACATTCAGTGGTTCGCGACAAATTCAGTCGGGGCTAGTCAGTACGCTGGTTTAGTTTCCGGAAACGGCACTTGTACGCGTTGAAAAGTTTATCCGTAGTCGTTGTCGAGCTGCTCGCGAGAAAAGGTGGTTCAATTCCTTCCTCTCTGACGATTTCAAACCAGTTCCCTGTCTCCCTTTGCTCTTACAATGGAACTTCTCCGGCGGCGGGCTCGAATTAAAAACTGGATTCAAACGTCTCCGCGACGAGAAAACTCGGCGAGATATTAAATTCGAGAGAAAGAAAAAGAGGAGCGCTGGAAAGTGGTCTCCCGCGGTGAAAGAGGGATGAAGGGACACCCTGGTTTCTGGTATTATGATTTTCACTGGAAACTTTGCTACGCGATTTACTTTCTCGCCGACTTTCCAACGTGACACTAGTTAGACACGAGCGTCACCGACGTACCAGGTGTACTGGAAATTCTTCATTTTTTTTTAAAGAAATTTAAATTTGGGAAAATGGAAACTGTTTTAGTCGACGTCGCTAGCTATTCATTTTATGGGCTTCCTAATTGTTCACAGTTTGAGAGAAATCGAGACATCGATACCTTTGTAACTATACGTACATATGGACTCCATAACTGTACATAGGCATGGACTTCATAACTGTACATATACATAGACTTCATAACTGTGCATACGTATGAACTTCATAACTGCACACAGACAGGGACTCCATAACTGTGCATACGAATGGACTTCATAACTGTACATACGCATGGACTCCATAACTGCGCATACACATGTACTCCATAACTGCACATTATATGAACCCTATACAGTTTGCTAATTTAATACAAGTTTATGTACAGTATGAATTTTATAATAGAAATAGTAACAAATTTATACTGTTCATACTATTTGCTTATTCACAAAGAAGTACTCTTGGTGCACCGGTTAATAATTCTACCACCACCACTAGCTATGCCCTTCAAATTGTGCCCTCCCTAATTGTTCACATTTTGAGAGAAATCGAGCCATCGATACCTTCGTAACTGTTGTGTTCCTGTAAAAGTGAGCCATTGACAAGTGGTAGTCCGAAAGGGTCAAGTCTGGTATGGCGGGTAGGGCAAAACCAACCAAGCGCAGAAATTGTGCCTTTAACCGTTTTCGCAGTGTGTGATGCGGCGTCGTGTTGCAAAATCACTTTTCCGTGTCTTCTAGCCCAGTCTGGACTTTTCAATGCATGGTTCAAACTGATTATTCGTTGACGGTAGCGATGGGTATGAACTGTTTTCACATGGTTTCAAATTGTGTTCTCCCTAATTTATTGACGGTAATGATGGGTATGAATTGTTTTCACATGATTTCAAATTGTGTCCTCCCTAATTTGTTGACGGTAGTGATGGGTATGAACTGTTTTCACGCGGTTTCAAATTATGTCCTCCCTAATTCATAACGGTACATACGCATGGATTTCATAAATGTGCATACACATGTACTCAATAACTGTACATTATATGGATCGTATACAGTTTGCTAATTTAATACAAGTTTATTCATTATATAGTTAACAATATGATAACTTCATATGTGCGATTGGTAAGAAAATTCATTGTCTGTTCCTGGAGAATTTTATTGTACTGCAGATAATGAATGCATAGGAAATATATTACCGAAGGCGAAATCCAGTTTGTTATCGATTAATAGAAAATATATTAAAACGTTCAGTGTCCGTCGTTAATCAAATAGAATATCCTTCGCTTTGGCAGGGAACAATGGAGGGAATTAAAAGTGAATTTTAAAGACATTTTGTAGTAAAAGTAGAAAGTATAAACTATAAGTAACATTAGGTTATAACTAAAATTTAGAATTGAATATTAAAATCGAACGATGAAGTAAATATTGATATTATGTAGTGAAACTGAATATTGAAATTAGATATTGAAACTGGATATCGAAATTAGATGGTGAAACTGAATATTGAAATTATATACTGAAGCTAAACATTGAAATTAGATACTGAACGTTGGAATTCAAATTAATATGTTGAAAACTGAAATTGAAATTAAAATTGAAAGTTCGAAGTTATAATGAAATGCATTTTTATGAATTTTGATAAAAAAATAAGGAAATCCGTTAAAACCAAATAGCAGCATAATACATGTATCATACGTACAATAGAACACATAAGAAACGGTTAATGTTAAGTAGATACAAGCATAAGTGCGAATGCGTGTCTACAACGCTCGTCAATTATCTTCTAAAAGCAATTCTCCGTAAAAGTGCATACACACACACATATGTCTACAGCAGTTTATATTTATTGCGATGTGTGGCATGTTCTCTACGGGAGTACATTGAATGAAGTTTTTGACGATTATAATTTTTTCCAAAGTTACATATACTTTAACCTTGATAATTTACATCTTTCAAAAATTCACAAAATAATTTCCAAATGTTTCCAATATCGTATTAGTGCAAAGAGGTTCCGGTGCCTAAACTTGGCGTTGCCTTTTATTTACATGTAATGTACTTTTGTGGGATTTGTTAATACTCTAAAACGTGGTGAAGGCAAAGTGCGAATCAAAACATATGAAAACGATCGTTCAATTGAAACGGTGAGCGAGTGAGCCATTATGGCGCTATGTAGTCACGATGACATTCGCGAAAGCCACTATAGTGGACCATCGTACAGAGAGATGGTCCGCCACTACAGCGGCGCGTCGTACATAGAGGTTAAAATGATACCCCTTTTGTAGCCTAGCGCGGACCATGGAGAGGTCCTGTTTTATGACTGCGCTACGCAAGACGCTCCGCACCGCGTCGCATCGAACTTCATACTTAACGATTATATTAAAAACGAGATATTATTTTAATTCAAATATTATTTAATAAGAGTAACAAATATGATCCTGTGTTTTCGGCTCACAGGTACGCAAACTTTCTCAGTAAAATTAACAGCTCTGTAACAGCCCTTCAAACATACGAGAGGTTCCGGTGCCTAAACTTGGCGTTGCCTTTTATTTACATGTAATGTACTTTTGTGGGATTTGTTAATACTCTAAAACGTGGTGAAGGCAAAGTGCGAATCAAAACATATGAAAACGATCGTTCAATTGAAACGGTGAGCGAGTGAGCCATTATGGCGCTATGTAGTCACGATGACATTCGCGAAAGCCACTATAGTGGACCATCGTACAGAGAGATGGTCCGCCACTACAGCGGCGCGTCGTACATAGAGGTTAAAATGATACCCCTTTTGTAGCCTAGCGCGGACCATGGAGAGGTCCTGTTTTATGACTGCGCTACGCAAGACGCTCCGCACCGCGTCGCATCGAACTTCATACTTAACGATTATATTAAAAACGAGATATTATTTTAATTCAAATATTATTTAATAAGAGTAACAAATATGATCCTGTGTTTTCGGCTCACAGGTACGCAAACTTTCTCAGTAAAATTAACAGCTCTGTAACAGCCCTTCAAACATACGACACATAAAAATTGTAAGCGTCTGAAATAATTGCACAGTAGAACATGAAATTAAACTGAAGAGATTTGATATAAACTGAAAATTGTTCCCCATCTCAGAAAAACTATTTATAAAACATGAAAAGCGTTGATTTCTATCCGATCACATTTAAAGCTTTGTAAGTTGAAAGATAAACGTAGATATTTGAAAGCCTGTCTGCTCGAAGGAAAATTAGACTTATCGTACAGAGAGATGACAAAAGTCACTATAGTCCCACCTAAGATAATCAAAACACAAAGTAGATCGTTCGTTAAAAAGAGAAGTTCCATCGTCGCTAAAAAAAATATTTCTCCGCTTTCACGTAACAAACTAGGTTTCCGATCCTACTCGCAGCAAAACAAACGTCAGATACAGTATAGACATCGTTCGCTGCGGTTATTTCATAAAACAAGAAGAAAAGTACGAGATGCAGTTATACGAGAAGTGCGCCACTTGTCAGAAACCTCTCTGGAGTTTCTCTAATCTGGTAAATCGTCAGGTCCCAAAGCAGCGATTTTATGATACGAGCTGAAACGAGCTCTGTCAGAACGCTACGAGAAATGTACTCCGAAGAAATACGAAACAATGAAGAAACAAGATTAAACGGTACGTTCGAGATATGCATTGCATGTATATCGCGAGCACGGGCACGAAACTCCTGAGACGTATAAATTATTGAATTATTGAAATAAATATTGGAGAAAACTGTGAAGTAGGACATGTGGAGCTAATTTAGTTTTTTGTGAATTCAGGGAATAGAGATGTTTATTATTTAATTTAAGTAATTTAGTGGGGGAGAAATTTTCTGAATTTTCAAGTAGGAAATTTCGGATTTTATTTTTAAAAAATTATTATGGTTTCTAATTTTAATATTTGAGAGCTTAGATTTACTTGAAATTATACAGTTTGGTAATTTTTAAATTTGCAGTTTTCAAACTGAAACTACTTGAACCTTGAATCTTGAACCTTGAAAATTGA